GTTAACACTTAAAAACAACGACACACCGCTTCGCTGAACCAGGTGAGCAATCTAAACTAAAGTTATACAACAGCACTGAAAAATCACCGACATACATTTCAGCATGTGTGTGAATTAGCAATGTGCATCTTCGACAAGTCAGAACACAAACAATGCCACGTTTGGCAAAAACCACCAAATGTAAGCAACAAAGCTAGACCACAGTACTAGTTTTTAAAAATTGACTCCAAAAAGCTTAAGAATTTATACTAAACATTATAGGTGAAAATGCTGTGTTCGACAGCTTAATTTCGGTTACGAAATGATTATTAACACCAACTTTGCCAGTGCGGCTTTGTTGTGATGCCAAGGGTACGAAGCTAACTGATGCCTAACCCAAGCTAACGTTACAACAGTTGCGAGCATAAAACTCGCACTGAACAGACAGTTATGTTTAAAAATTAGTTTGCCCCTGATTTTTTTTTTTAACAGTTTCGAACAAAATAAAGGGCGAACCATCGGGGTATTGTCCCGTGAGTCGCTTCTTCCACAAACATATCGCTGTCACAGTTGATTAGTTAGCTTGTAAGAAGTTAACTAGCATCGTTAAAACTTTAAGCGTAGCAACGTGGCTTTAACAATCCAGCTAACAAGCTAATGTAAGATCGTGTTCCTGTTGAAGCGTGTGGCTCCCTTTAAAAGTGTTGACATAGAAGCAATGCGTGCAAATCAACACCGTCTTCTCAGTTCGCACCTGTTACTTCGAAACTTTTATTCAACCCGACCAAACTAAGTTGGCAAGATAATGTTAGCTTAGCCATTAACGATACTGTTAATCGATACGCTTGAGAAATTACTGTTTACCCAGTCGGAGAGCGATGCTACCTTCACTTTGCTATATCCACCCAAAGTCTTCCCCGTTCTGTCGTTGCTTTGCGTTATATCACCAGTTTAATCAAGTTTGGTAAATACTCGTTGTTTCGTGAAATCCACTCTTTTGTCTTCTCTTTTCTTTCAGAGTATTCACAATTCAACATGGCCGCGCTCGTTTTTTTGGCTGGTTGTTTGCTCCAAAGGAAACTCTGACTGACCAATCACAGCTCTGCTTTCAAATTCACAAACGTCACTGTGGGATAAGAGATGACAAAAAAAATATAAGACAAAACTGAATCTGTTGGACACATTTTATATAAAAATTTCAACAACTTTTGTCAGAGAAAACAACAAACACGCGTACAGGCACAAATGCACACAAACAGATTTAAAAGGTAAAGTGGTTCTAGATAATTAAAATAGCATAAAGGTGGGATTTGAATGTGCATAATTGAGCATGTCAAGTTAACACTGTTAAGCCTTAAAATAAGCAGACTGGATACAATTTTAAAAGACTCAAAATGTCAAAAAGTGGAGCTGATCACTGCAGCAGCTTGTGGGTGACCAGTTTGCTCCCAGTCACAAGGGGAGTGCCCAGTGCAGAATGTGGATAAGCAGGCACTTTATCCATGTATCAAAGCCCAAGGATGCCAACTGTGATGGTCTTTTGTCATGAAGCCCACGAGAAGAGGGTCAGTTTGTAGGGAAGTCTAATTTCAGGTTCAGTCTATTAGCTGTTCTGTCCCCCCACTGGTGAGACTTTCTTCTGGGTGTCATTTTGGGCACTGAAGTTTGATTGTCTCTTTGTTGGTTGGCTGTGTAGAGGTAGTTGCAAGTTGCACTGGGCAATTATTTAGAGCTAGTATGATGGAAATACAGGCATAGATAGAGTCTTTGGAGAATGGGAGGTGCCGTGATGAGGGGTGTGTGGTGTAGTCGAAGGTGAACATCCACGACTCTGGCTGGGAGATGGGGACCCTAAAGGACAGGCAGAGAGTATAAATGTAATACTGTGATTTTATTCACTGAGAGTCCGTGTGTGTGCAATTGTGTGCATGTCCTCACCATTTTCCGTTAAGTTGCTTCCGTGTGGTGAGACTGACACAATGTGTTGATCCTGAACTCTTATGTGCTTGGAGCCTCTCCCTCGTAACACATCTGCTATCTGGAAAATATTTGCAGTCTGTTACAACTTTGTGTGTATGACCTCAGGTAAGAATCACAGTAATCTTGAGTTAAACACCAGTATAACACTGGCAGAGAAAACACTGCACCGTTCAGGTCTGGCCCCTAGAGGGAAGGATACACACATTTACTTTCCATTTTTGGCCATTTCTTCCTACCATCCTAACCAGAGCTGAGTCAAGTAGATTTTGCAACTGTTTGCATTTGTTGTTGACATAACTAAAGTAGCAGATGAGCGGGTTTTTCCATCATAAAGTTTCAGTGAGTGATTGAAAGTTTGGACATTCACATAGAAGTCATTCAGTCTCAGTCAATTTGGTAACGTCATTCAGATTAGCTGCTTTCTTGACACTATCTGAATTGTCTTGAAGCAGCATTTCATAACCATAAAAAGGCTAATACAAACAATACAGTAATAATGGAATCTCGAGGCCTGTCATCTCCTCACTCACTTTCTTGTTCTTGGCCACCATCACAGGGGTGTCGTTGTGGTAGTTCTTGAGGCTGCTGTCAGCCCCGCTTTTCAGCAGCAGCCGCACTGTGTCCACCTGACCTCGGCCACAAGCACTGTGTAGGGCTGTATTCCCACTGTATGACTGGCTGTTGACATCACAGCCATTCTGCGACAGAAAAACAGAAGTTGTATAGATGTGAATCATATAGAAAGCCAGAGTAGATACAGTTAAGCACAGAAAGTGAAACAAAAGATAATGCCATGGAGAGGGTGAGTAACATCAAATAGGAGAGATAAAAGAAGGACAAAAGATCATTCTGTCCATGTTCAACACATCTCTAAGCTCTGACAATAAAGCTAAACTATAAATATTTTTGCTCCAATTCTTTGAAGGTCTTATCTTTAAGCTAGAAAGGATGGGAAACTGTGCATACAGCTGATGAATAGGAAAGAGAAAACAAGTCTGACCAAATAGAGCTGAGTCACAACCCTTTCTCTCCCCACACACGCTCATTACCTCAATGAGGAAGTGGACCATGTCTGCGTTATTGCTCTCCACCGCATGCATGAGAGGACTCTGGCCACTTTTGATGTCCTGATTAGAAAAAAGAAGTACCATGGGAAAAGTCAGTGGACGCAGAAATGGTATAGGTCAAATTTGCGATGTTGTGAAACTTAGTCAGTGCTGACTAAGTGCGGCATAGGGACAAACCATTGCATTGATGTCAGCTCCTGCATCCAGCAGCATTCTGGCTAAATCCTTATGGCCCAGCAGCACAGCCAGATGGAGAGGGCTCAAACCTGCGAAAATGGATAAAGCAGGACCTGAGTTTTACATGGAGCAAATGTAGATGTTCAGGAAATATGCAGAATACAGAGCAAGAGTAGTTTTGGAGAGACATGAGAAAATGCCATTAGGCCTACAATAGTCAAAACTGCTGGACTTAAAATCTTGACAACATATCCTGAAAAAAAAGTCTTGCCTGGACATGAAACCTCTTGTTTGTTGCCATTAAAATGATAGAAGGTCAACTTTGTCATTCACTGGATTCACTTAGATTTGATCCCTACATACAAACTCAGCTCCACTAAGAAGATACACATTGGAAAAATATGAGCCAGTGTGTATTTTGGGGACTTTTTCCATCACCCAGACTTGTTACTTTCACACCAAAACAGTGTTCTGTGCTGTGACACGACAGACATGTTGTGGCGACTTGGCAGTGTGACACTACACTGACACCAGACCACAAAGGAAGGAAATGTCCTCTTCTCTTCCCACCCACACACCCAAAAGAACCAACCCCTACCTGAACAAGGGTGCACATTTTTCTTATTTCTCTCAGCAAAATCTTATGCACTAACACTAGTGAGTCTATGTGGTTTCTATTAAATTACCAGAAAGGAGGAATGTCAGTGTTACAGCTAATACTTTTGTCATAGCACTCTGCTTATTATTTTGATGTTTCTTCATTTATTTTATTAACTGATGATCCGTGTCCAAAACATATTTCTATTTATTTTCTACATATTTCTTCTGTACCTTTTATCTAAATTTATTAAATACTCTTAATTTGATAAAGGCTTTGCATTTACTCATTAAATTAGTCACCGGAAAATCACTAAAGGGGAAATGGTTACAGGCAATCACAAGGCTTTATCAGATGAAATAACTTAAGAGCTCAGAGCCATTCTGGATCTTTGTTGGTTAAGAACATATTCAATACAAGAAATACCAAGGTGCTTCTTCAGTAAACCACAACTTACCTTCATAGTTTCTGCTCTCCAAGCATGTGGAGGATGAGGATTGAGAGAGCACGACAGATATACATTCACGCTGGTTGTATTCACAGCAGAGGTGCAGTGCTGTTTGGCCGTTACGGTCCAAGGCAGCAGGGTCAGCTCCCGCACTCAACAAAACATCCACCATGTCTGCCTGCTGGGTTATCACTGCCAGGTGAAGGGGAGTCTTGAGGAGGGAGGGAGGAGAGGGGGACAGTTTAGACAAATCAGTGTATTCAGGTCCATAACCACAAAAGGCAATATACAGCCTCTTAAAACCGTTTTCATTTTTTCACACTGCAGCACACTAGATGGTATTCAAAGAGCATGAATCCCCCACAAATGCTAAATAATGTTCCCACTCTCTACTATCCTTAAAGGAATCATTCCCATCTCTTAAAATCTGATATAAAAAGATTTTCTCCCTGTATAGATGACTTCATTTCAAAACAAGTCTTAATGTCACTGTTCTGACTAATAGTGCTGCTCATAGTGGAAATCTTCATTGTAACCAAATGTAGCAATTTGGGCAACTACCCCAAGGATTTTTGTGAACAATCTCCAAAACATCAAAGGAATAGTTTGACACTTTGGGAAATGCATTTACTTGCTTTCTGGTGGAGAATTAAATGAAAAGGTTGACACCACTAATGTCTATATGGTGAGTATGAAGCTATAGCCAGGAAACAGTTAGCTTAGCTTAGCAGAAAGACTGAAAACTAGAAGGACACAGCTAGCCTGGTTCCGTCCAAAGGTGACAAAATCCACCTATCAGCACCTTTAAAGCTCACTAATTAACACATATCACATTTCAGTGGTGGAAGTTTCGAATACCAACCATGAAAAGCGAAGCTGTACATGTAGATAATCTTGAAATGAACACATTATTGTAAATGAGGAAGAGTGTTACTATTTCTAGTAAAGGCCTCCTATCATCACAAACCTGTTATACAGGTTAAAGGTCAGAGACACAATGAAACGCCCGTAAGGACAGCCGACGCCTAAAATAAATAAACAGGGAACCATTACCTGGTTATATTGTGCACGTGTGACCTGCACGTTACTTGCCCGTTCACACATATATACAAACACACCTAACCCATGCACAAACACACAAGTCAGAGCAGCCAGCAATGAAATCTATATCTGAGGAATCAAAGATGAGGAAGAACCTGGTCTGAGAGACAAACAGTCTGCAATGACAGCAAAAACACACAGTTCACCGGCTGTTTGCCTGGATCAATGATGAAGTGCTGAATTAAACCACTTGAGCAATCTAGGATGTTCCTTTGGGTGAGGTCAGCATGTATCGTCCTGTTGATAATTATGTCAAATCTGGCCAGGGACAGCACTGACAACTTAAGTAATGTTTAGTCATAAAGGGAAGTCTTTTAACCTGGAATTTTTAGCTGCTATTCAAGTTACACAATATAAGCAGCAATCAGGAACAGTTAGCTGTTCCAAGTTTCACTTTTGCTGTACTACTATTATGTGTGTGTGTGTGTGTGTCTGTGTGCGCACACAAACTGCGGGTTTGTTCCAGTAAAGACTATAAAAAAAAGTTGTCCAGCTGTGGGAGAGCATCTCTGTGGAATTCCTTCAGTGTGTCAATGCCAGTGTTCCTCCCTTTAGCTCCTGTTTCCCTGAATCCTGTGAGTCACATGCATGCTTACGGCATTAGAAAAAAAAAACCCACACACACAATAGTACTCCCCTTTAAAATATACATACATTTAATATTAATTAAAAAAAGTAGCCATAATACTATTTGGTCCCCACACAGCACTAATGAAACTCGTATGGTATCCTCCTGAATCATTTCCAGAGCTTAAGAAATTACCTTCCACACTCAGGCCTTATAAGGCTTTCACAATTGACCTCTCAGAGTTGGCAGAGTCTAGCTGTGGCTTCCTGTAAAGGACTTCAAAAATGACTAAAACAAAAATCCAGCAAAGATAAGAGGAAGGGTGGGAAGAGAGCGAAGCGGGTGGCAGGGTGGAGAGACGGAGGAATGAGGAAGAAACGGAAGCAGCAGAGGGGACTACAGGGGGAAGGCAGGATAACAAGGGAAAATCCCTTCTCTTTCCCTTGTGTCTGTCCTCACACACTCGCATTCCTGCAAAATGAGTGGATCAACATGAATGAGGTGAAAAGATGAGGGGAGAAAAGAGGAGGTTTCTGGGCATGAACAGCTCCGGGCTGGAGGCAGTGGCAAACACAAAGAAAGGTTGAAGGCAACGATAAGAGACAGAGACTTTTCTTCTGCAGTGAAGACTGGGGGGGTAAAGAAAGTCCTGTTGCACAAATAAACATCACACGCTCTTACGTCAGTGATGTTGACAGTTACACCGATAGCATCAGTCAGTTGATCAGTTATGGTTAGAAACCCTAAATTCTTTTAAGATGTATGCAGTGACAAATATGAAAAAAAGAAAACAGCAGTGAGCGAGCAAGACAGATAAAGAGACAGCACGAGAGAGAGAGAGACAGAGAGAGAGAGAGAGAGAGAGAGAGAGAGAGAAGGGAAAGTCCCAATAAACTACCCTCTGAACCTCAGTGCAGGTTGAGAAACAGCACAGGGGGGAGGGGGTTGGTCATGTGACTTCTCGGAACAAGGATACTAAAGCGCACACAAACACACACAGATGTCACACGCTCATGTAAGCACACCCGCGTGCGCACACACACACACAAACACAAAATTAAATGGCATGCTAGCATGCACATAACCAACAGATAAAATTTAATATGAATTTATGTGCATCTGAATAAAAAGGTTTCAACAGTACAGTGAACTTAGCCATTTACAGAACTGCCTCTAAAGAAGCAATTATTGAGTTGTTGTCATCCTCATACTGTATTGTAGCAGTCTTTAATCAAAAGCACATGACCATCAGCACATGGTTTTCGTGTGGGTGGCCCCAGGGGATTCAGTCCCCAAACCCCACTAGTGTCACAGCCACGCACTACACCATCAGCTGTGGCGAGAGCATCAAAAAGTAGACTACTATAGATGTGTGTTTGTGTAGCTGTACTGATAGCATGACCAGTGTGGGAGTATCAAACAGCTGTCTCTATCATCATAGTAGCACAGTGAACAAATGTAGTAGTACAGTGTACAAATCAAGCACTGCACTGTTGTTCAGTTACGGTACTGATAGTAACACTCTGTCAAAAAGTTCCATATGCAAACCACAGAAACTCAGGATTTGTCATCAATATTGGAAAAAGCTGTGTTTTAATTTCACATTGTGTTTGGGAAGTTGGTCAGTGCCAGAAAATGTGTTCAAGTCTGTCTAGTAAACTTTATGCTATGAAAAATAAAAAGTTCCCTGGCCTCATTTTAATAAGTGTATTCTTTATGGTATTCAGTCAAAACCACACAATCTGGTAGGCAAATGACTGTGGTAGGACATGTGCCTGAAAATCTCCCTTTTTGGTTATAACTGCATATATATATCTGAGTGTGAGAAAAGTGTGTGTGTGTGTGTGTGTGTGTGTGTGTGTGTGTGTGTGTGTGTGTGTGTGTGTGTGTGTGTGTGTGTGTGTGTGAGCATGTTGCATTTTCATACACACAGCAGACACAGGATATCACAAAACCTATACTGTCAAGCCTGCAATGAGGAAAGACAACAACCGATAATAACACCAGCGTTATTTCTGGTAAGTGGGCCCGTGGTGTCCTGTGTTGTGTGAAACCCCAGCCTTGAGAACTAAAGTTCTGCACAGCTCAGGTGGTTTCTCTGTTTGAAGGATGAAAGAGAGAAAGCTGGCAGACTGCAGTGGAGGAGGTGGAGACAACAACAACAGAGGGGGAGAGAAAGTGGAAAGAGTGGAAGTGTTGGCTTAAGGCCAGTGTTTGTGACAGTCCAGGATTGAGAAACACTAAAGATAATTCCTTGTACACATTACAGTAAAGTACACTGCAGCTAGTCCCTTGGGTTGAGGTTACTATGTAGGAAGTTTAAGGGCACAGTCAATTTTTTCATAAGAAAGAAAAATTTGCCAATTAACATTAGCGTAAATAGCCAACATTGCCCTAGAATGTTAATCAGACTATACCCAAGAAAAAATGCAGATTATAAGATGGAATACTAGTTATGTCATGTAATTTTCCAGTCTGTTCATATGTTTTCAGTTAAGGCCAAGACATGAGTTATGAATCCAGGGTTCATGAGAGTTCAAAGGACTCACAGTGTGCTTGACTCTCTCCTCTGAGTTTCACAACATGGTAAATCCTACATGCAAACACTGAAAAATCCCTTCCTTCAGGGAAACCTAGTACTAGAAAACTATTGCACACAATAAACGAGAACACTGGAAATCACATGTAGTCCTTCCCAGCATGTGCATGGCTTTGAATTATGGCAAGTACAGGTGGAGAAACCAGGAAGGGTGAATTCCATTTGCATAACCATAAGCCACCATGACTGTAAGAGTATGTGATAACACGGTGCAAGGCAAGGAGGAAACCAAGGCACTTCCTCTTTCATTCTTTTCCATGTTACTGTTATCAGAAGGGTGAGGCAGGGGAATGTGTTTTACATGCTGTGGTGGTCAGGGCAGAAGTCCCCTATCACTTTTCTATTCTGTATCTATCTTTCATCATGTTATAATGTGTCATTAAATAGAACTGAAACTTCCTGTGGATTGTATGGCTTCCAACATTGAAAGGAAGACAAAATCTTGCCTCAAATGTCAAACTATTGATTAGAATTCTGCATTTGTAAACATTATGATAGCAACTGTGTGTGCATGCATGCTTTAATGGAAAGAAATGTCATGTGTGTATTTAAAGTGTATTTGTTTTACCTGACGAAGGTTGTTGTAGATATCAACGCCTCTGTGAGCCCACACCAGGAGATGGATCAGTGTGCAGACAGTGGCCAACTGCCCCTGCACCACAGCTATATGGAGAGCTCTGTAATGAATACGAAAAAAAACCCAGCACATAAAGAACTTTATACAAACAATTGGAATAGAAATGCTGCAATAGACAACTCAATTTCAACGAGAATTTAAATGGGTCGTAGGTTTCCTTGACATTGTGACCCACTGATACTATATCCCATTAAAAACATATAAGGTGGCTACTAATAAGACCTTTGTGTGTTACACTTTATGTGTGTAACACATTGCAGTGCAGTAGTCTACACATACATTGGCATGATGACTGATGGTGGTTTGAGTTTTTCTTCAACAGTTACATATGTGAATTGTTAAACCCAGTGTGCTGCAAAGCACCTTCCTGCATGGTACCAACAAAGTTGGTCAGAATTTCAACAGTCTGACATTTTGGTGAAATGTGCTTACTCATTCTCTTACCAACGGTTGAGAAGATACAATTGTACAATACAATAGTATGTTTCCATTAAATATAAGGGTATTACTACCAGCCAGTTAACTTAGCTCAGCATAAAGACTGGAAATAGCTAGCCTGTCTCAGTCTGAAGGTAATAAAAGCAAGCTTCCAGCACCTATAAGTTCACGCTGAATCTCGTTGACGAACGACAGGCTGTGGTTTATCAGAGGTTATGTGCCGGACTATTTCTGGGCCAGGAGCAGGAACCTCTTAAAGTCTCACCTGGTTGCCTGGCAACCTTATAGTGACTACAACTTTTTTTTAAGCTTTTAGCTTTCATGTTTTTTATACAGATTAAACAAACAAGACAACAATATCATTATCATATCGAACTTTTGAGCTGCTGGTAGGTGGATTGTGTTAGTCTAGTTGTCCCTTTGTTTTCAGTGTTCGTGCTAAGCTAAGCTAATCAGCGATCGAACTATTGCTTCAAATGAATGTAGCCAAGTTGATTTCACTAATTTGGAATTTGGAATGAAAAACATTCACGTCATGGCTGTAATTAACCTGTAAAGGATTTCGGTTTGATTTGTGATCAGAGCAGCGAATTCCACTTGATCACTTGATCTAAATTTCCCACTGGCAGTTGCATCGAGGAGCTCCACAGATGTCAGGCATGACTCACAGTATTCTTATCACACCCTTATCAAGACTAAAGGGGAAACCACTATCTGTGGTCTGTACGTGAAGTGAAAGAAACATGCACAGGCCAAAGTTTAGGACAGGGAAGAGCAGGAAACTGGGGGGGGGGGGGGGGGGGGGGGGTTGACATGCTGCAGAAAACAGTATAACAGTTTTCACATTCTTCTTTTTTTTTTTCATGCTGTGAGAAGCAGCTTCCAGTAACAGCCAGACTGGTTTTATGTCACTTCCTGTTGTCAGCAACAATGGCAGCACTCTTTCTCCTCAATAACAACCTGCTTGCTGTGAAATCTAGCCATTAAGCTGTATCATTGTTGACAGGGACTTTCTGTAGGTTCACTGAATCAGCTTCATCCAATGGATAAATTATAATCAGATTTACAATACAATTGTGCAACAGGAAACAGGGACGCTTCCTGAGATCAAGTTAAAAGTACCCTTGCAAAGAGCTTGAGGACAGAAAATAAGTTCAGTGACAAAAGCACTTGCAGCACCTCCTCTCAGCCATGTGTCCCACTGACATGGATTCATTAATGATAGTAGTTTCCTGCCTACAAAATACAGATTGAAGACCTCTGAGGAAACAACACAGAAAACACCTGATGTATAATGCTATGGTATTCATCTGCACACAACTACACTACCCTGCACATTTAATCAAAACTGCTATGAAAAGTTATTTTTGTATCTATCTATCTATCTATCTATCTATCTATCTATCTATCTATCTATCTATCTGCACACCTCATTGCAGTATCATATTACTCTAACGATCTCTTCCAACCACATAAAAGCAGTTTATATAGTCTTTGTATTCCTTGTGGAAACGTTCAAATTCTTTGACAACTCAGAGAAGGCGTGTATGAACAGAACAATACCTGTGGTTTATTAATCTGGAGGATAAGCATGTGCCAACACACACTTGGTGGTTGCAGGAAAAAAACAGCCATGCTCTATTATGTCTGTGTATATAATTAAACAGTTTTAAAGAAAAACGCCAAAAAAGAAATGCAAATTGTGGATTTACCGTGTGCATGTGTATATACATGCATAATTCCTACACATGCATGAGCAAGCATGGAGAACAATTCCACAGTGTGAGCAAAGACCTAAAAGTTGTAAGTGCAAGAGCAGGTTGGAAATGCAACTGTAATAAACAATCAGATGATTTGTTCCTGACGTCAGAACAAAAAGCAGAACTTTGTATGTTTTAACGAGTGTCCGCGAAACGGTTCATTCCTCAGCTGGTCCCTGTTCCTGTAATTGAGCTCGACATAGTGAAAAAAAATCTGTATCAGAAAAGATCTCTAGTCATATTTGCTGTACATGCTATCAGCAACCTGTCTTTTTTGCTTTAATCCAATCCTTGTACTGTATATCTACAGTCCAATATAGTCAGCGGCTGTTCAGGTATGACTTGACCTGGGTTTTGATATCGTGAGCCCTGAAGAGAGGGCTGTGAAAAGTGACACTCGTGCTCTGATGAACAGAAAGTCTCATGCCAGCTACAGTTTGACATTATGAATAACAGCAGAGCTCATAAACTCTCTAAACATTGAAGGAATTGCAATCAATGGTTGCCTTCATATAGTCCTGTAGTTCTATCTCTCTTGTGCTCTCTACTATCTACATCCATCTCTCTCTTTTTCTCTTAAGATGAAACTGTACTGTTTCTAGTTCCTGGAAGTGGGGCAGACCACAGCCCCAGATAACCCCAGGCACAGCGGCACTGACGCAGACAGGAGTCCCAAGCTCACAGTCACTCTCAGTGTAACTGTGTTTTTTTGTGTGAGATAGAGGGAGAAAAAAGAAGACTTCAAGAGAAAAGAGAGAAGGCAGCGAAAAAAGGCAGCATACGTGCGGTATCCTGTTTGGTATGGAGGGTGAGGGCACAGCCAAACTGAATGATCAGACTGCAGCCTAACATATCCTGTGGTCTGTGGACCAGCTGAGCAATGGGATGATGTGTCAGAGTGTGTGTGTGTGTGTGTGTGTGTGTGTGTGTGTGTGTGTGTGTGTGTGTGTGTGTGTGTGTGTGTGTGTGTGTGTGTGTGTGTGCGCATAGTAAACAAAAGAGGTGATGCACCACAGTCCAGTTAACCAGAAATGACAGACGTATGCATTGCATAGGTTGTCTGCTAAGCTTGTCATTAAGAATGATGTTTTCATTATAAGGGTAAAATCTCCAATTGTCAAAATCCATTATAGTGCATTTTACAGTAATACACTCAGTTTTAACCTTGACTCAGTTAGAGAGTTGATGAATAAGTGTGTGAAGCCCCTTTGAAACTCTTATATGAAAGCAGGTATTTGTAGTGTAGTTGAGAGTAATGCTCAGCGAAACTCCATGGACGATAAAGGACGTTGAACATTAATCTGTGTAAATGCAACACCGCAAACGTCCTCAGGAGACTTGGCCTTGCAAAATATAGCTTTCAATCTCATAGATAGTTTTAATCAGTGTTCACTCTCTACCACAATCTACCACAATCGAGTGGACTGCATGGAGGACTGTGGGCCCAGGTCGTATAACTTATAGTGACTTATTCACACCAACAGCAAACACTGTCTTGTACTATGTCCTTGCTACAGTGTGAAAAGGTTTTAAGTGACTGCCCATCTGTCTCAGTACTTTTCCATTTTTATACAGTGAATGGAAATACCTTGATTACTGACAATTAATTTATTGTCCAAAAGAATGTGTGATAGCCTGCAGAACATATTAGCACTACAAAACATCTTTGATTATAACAGCTTAGCACAAGCTCAGTCATTTGCAGTTACAGTTAGTGTGTTTTTAGTAATGCTACTGGTGTGGCGCTTTGGACAGCAGTGTTGGTCAGTCAATAAATTTGGTCCAGACTGAAATATTACTACAGTTGGATGCAATGCCATGAAATTATTTGGCACAGATGAATCCTCATGAACTTGGTGATCAATTGGCTTTTCATCTAGCAACACCAGTAGGTTAAATTTTCACTTAACCCATGAAATATCTTAACATCTACTGGATAGATTGGCGGGAACTTCTGTGAAGACATTCATATAATTAATAATAATAATAATAATAATAATATAATTCAGATAATGAATCCTCATGATTTTGGTAATCTTCTGATTTTTTTTCCTCTAGCACAGGTAACGCTTGTGGTTTTGAGTGAAATGTCTCTTCAATCATTGAATGCATTGCTGTGAAGTTTGGTACACTCCCTCGTCCCCCTGAGGATGAACTGTAATAACTTTTCTGACTTTTCATAATTCTATTGACATTTCCATCAGCCTCAACTGTACTTTATGTCTAGTGCAAATAGCAAATATTAGCATGCTACATGCTGAATTAAAATGGTGGACATGGTAAATCTGTTAAAAAATCAACATGTTAGCATAATAGTTAGCATGTTGCTACAGTGACAGTAGCATTTAGTTCAAAGCACCGCTGAGCTATAAGCAGAGCCTCATTGAGTTGCTAGTATGGCCGTATAAATTTAGTGTTGTTTTTGTGTCCGTGTTTCTTTGCAGAAACAAATGTTTACATCTGGGTCAGCCCAAAAATAAATCAAAAGTATTGGATCAACATGTCAGAGTATTTTGACATTATCTAAGTCTGCAAGCAAGATAATGACCACAAATGACAGTTTCAATAATAAGTTTTTTAAAACTCTGCGTATAACCCCATTAATGTGCATGTAAATCCACTGACTGACTGGAAGCATTTGGGCATTTGTTTGTAAGAGCTGTAAGTTAATCAACACATCTGCACATTACACATACAAACGACTGAGATGTGTGACACATAACACAGAAAAGGAGAGAGAGAGAGAGAGAGAGAGAGAGAGAGAGATGAAGCAGATAGAAAGAAAGCGGTAAATGAGGAAGTGAGGTGCGGATGTTTGGGTTTTTTGAGCCCATTCATCTAAAAACACAGAGAAGAAAAGAGACAGAGAGAGACACCTGAGAAAAACCTCAAAACTTAGCAGTCACTGGTTTTCCCGAAACTAAAGGGGCTCAGAGGCGCTGAGAACAGAGGATGAAGATCTCATTGACGTAAGAGAGGCGTATGCTCACCATCACTTACATTATGCACACACGCATGCACACACACACTCATGTACATAGTGTGAAAAAGGACAGGGGGCTGAAAGAGTTTCTTTCTGCAGAATTCACACAAAGTTTCAAACAACCACAAAGCAATAAGTAGGTACTAACCAAGCTAACCAAGGTCCCAGCTTCATTACAAAGGATCTAGATTTTGTGAAAAGTCTCTCCACTGCAGCTTTGTTGATTAGATAATGTTCATATCAGTTTCTCATTTTGTTTCTGTGTCTGTCTTGCACATTTGGATAACGTTCTTGTAAGACACTCTAGAGAAAAGTGTCAATCTATTGTGATGACACATGGAAAATAAAATCAGGTTGGCCGCAGTGTTAAAGAAGCCACAAAGTATACATACTCATACATTTGCACGTATAAAAATTGCATTCATCCTATTTCCTTGCCACTGTCTGTTAATGGCAGACATGTCACAGCTATTACTAGTCTCTGAAGTAAATACAGTACGAGACAATAAGCAGCCATGACATGTCACAGGACTTACGGCTCTGCTAAATGTTGGTCATCACGAGTTTGTTTCAAATGGATGAAAATGATGCTGATACTTTTGAAACCACAACATCAAAGCGCCATCTAATTCTTGGACATGCTAAGTTTTCAGTCACATGAGTCTATGTGTGTGATTGTCTGTGTGTGTGTATGTGTGTGTTCTTGTATCAGTTTGTCATTTCAGTTAGTGTGTGGGTGGGCGTTAAACCTTTAGACAAAGTAAAGTAACCATGCGTTAAAGTTTAATATTTGCATTCATGTGATCTCAAGAACGTCTCCAGTGAACAGCATTCTCATTCCCAACCCCCCACCCTACACACTTAGAGACTAGCCAGCTGAAAATTATAGGTTGTTCAAGACACACACACACACACACACACACACATACACACTAGCACATGCACGCCATGCCTATTTCATTTAATAGCTCAAACTCAAGTGCTATAGCTTCCAGGTTAGTGTATTAAATTAAAGTCTCCATTGTCAGTTGCTGAATTATTCCTGATTTACTCTGAGCCAGATTCCCCAATAGAAAGTGAAACATCAGTAAAGAATTTAGTCGGATAGGAGGTGGGGATGGGGGTCAGTGACTATACCTGTTCAATACGCAGAACCAGGTGATACACAGAGATCATGACATAAACTGAGATGATATCACAGATGTCTCATAAACCACAACCAGGTTGTGCAACGCCACCATGGGCTGTTAAGAGCAGTGTTGTTTGAGTCCAACCCTGTGAATCACTTCACGTATTTGTTATTTATGTGACCACTTCAGTTTCACTTTTTATGACAATGGTAACGGTTTCCCCCCCGAGAAGGTAGTTTAAGTAGTGCAAGTGTCAAGCCTGTAGACAAACACACAAATTATGTGTGAAGACTTTAAGATGAAGTACTGCACAGAATCCTTTGGGCTAAAATATTATTATTACAAATCATATATATCATAGTATGTTTTACTGATGTTATGATATGGTTGAATCTGCCGCCCATGTGCTGATATTGAGTGTCATGCTATTTTTAGTAGTAGAAACATCTTTTCAACAACCTCTTGGCCTAGAGGGCATTAAAGTACATAAATGATCTATAATATTTTTAAGTAAAGGTATGAGCTTTTAGAATGAAAACAATTTTAAAATCACAATATGCATCTATTTTTCACCTTAAAATTGTCCCTCCTTTGTTGCATAAGACTTTTGCAAAATGAGTGTAACTTGATGCCTGACGAGTCACCACTACAGATGAAGGTATGAATCGGATGCCGTCAGTGGCAATGAATCCTCCTGGTCTGCTGGAAATCTCATGAATATTTATGACTGTGGTGAGATGTAAGATCTGTGAATTTGTTAAGTTTCGACTGCCAACTCAGTCATCTGACAAAAATGTGATGATTATGAAAATGCATGAGGTGGATGAATCACAATAGTCTTTTGAGTTTACTATATCCATAAGTTACTTGGAAATGTGATAGGATGGATGGATGGATGGATGGATGGATGGATGGATGGATGGATGGATGGATGAGTAAATCATACGAGAAAGAGATACCCAAACTTCCAAGCTAAGCCATATTTAAAATGTCAACATACGTGTCTCCATCTTCATCTTGATGTGTAGCCAGAGCGATACCAGCCAGCAGGTTATCGGTTTGGTGGGCCAGAGGGTGGTTCAGGTCTGGGACTGGGGGCAAATAGTATACTTGGTAACCTGAACAGGGATGAGACAGAAAGAGAGGCAGAGACAGGGAAAGAAAGATATAGAAGGTGAGAGGTGCAGAGGGAAAAGAATAAAACAAAATCACGGCAATAAACACAAAATGAAAAGGCTGATCTAACAAACAAGGTATTCTTGTACTAAAGAAGAGTGCAACTCTGTGTGTATGTGTGTGTATGGCTAGTATTCAGCTATGAGTTGAGTGGGCAAGCTACTTCAGTCAGTGCAGTAGACTTGACTATAGAGGAATAGCTAGAGAATAGCTGACTGGACAGTTTCTCATTGATTCAGCTGTAGCTGCTGCATCAACTGGGCCTCTGAGGTCTGTTCTTTCATCTGTGACACACACCGAAAATATTGAAAGAGGGTGTTGTGTGCTGTTACTGTTTTAAGAATCCAAACAGCATTAGCAGCATTCATGTAACACCACAAGATCATTTTGTGAGCCTCTGCATGTTGTGCCATGCTCTGTCTTTGGAACTTAAATTGTGTCTCTAACTTTGTCTTACAATTCAACAGTGTGTAGAGAGACCCTAGATTCACACAGCCAACCACACAGTTTTACAATCAACCTAATTTTGGCCATAAAAAAGTAAGTGTTTCCTTGATATGATTACTATAGACTACAAATCACAGCAAGACTCTGAAATGCAGCAAGATTACAGGGGTTAATACATTTTTAATCAAAGAACTAAAAGGTATCGTAGCCCACTAATGTAGCCTAAAATAACGAATGTTGGCCAGCGATGCTTACCGCAATGAATCGGGTGTAAAATGCGTATGGGACATCTGTCTTGACTCTGCTGTGTCACTTCAAGACGCCTGGGAGTCACTGGTGCTACAGCGACCCGGTGTTCATCCGCGGGTCTTTCCAAACGACCGGCCAAACGCTCCCGAAATGTCAAGTCCGTATCTTCCACAGGGGAGAGTCGGTCTCCACTCTCAGCAGGAGGCGGCGACTGCGTCTGGGTCTCCGGCTCGACAAGAATCCGGCGTTTCCTAAAAGGAAGCTTGAGGGAAGAATTGTCCGCCGGCCGTTTGCGAGCAGTACCGGTTCCTGAGTCCGCTACGTTTCTGACGGCGGGGCAGCGTATTTCCAAACTGTTGGTTCCCGTGGACGCGGGGGGTGCAGGTGAGCGCCCCTCGCGCGACCTTTCCAGTCCGCAGTCCGGACTCCTCGACCCGGCGCCCCCACGCTCTCTGTTCGTGGTGCGCAGATCCAGCGGCGCTGTGGCAACCGACTGGTGGTCACCGTTCATAGTCATGATCCTCGGCATCAACTGGTGGCGAAGCGCTCAGGATCTGAGGAAGTTTCAGGTGTGTGTGGGTGACGACAACGTCTCGACGCTCAGTGACAGTTTGCTGGGATCAGTCTATCCAAAGTGGCCAACAGTGCGCAATTCCCAGCTCCATGAAATCAAGTGGGCAGCGATTAAATCATCCCTTTGTATCACTGGTGTATTTTAGATAAGCGTTCAAAGTCATAGATTCAGAATCATCTTCGAATCGGAGCCAGTGGAAGTTTGATGTAGATTATGTGTATCCTATCGCACCTATGGTAACAACTGCAGGTACAGTGCAGCTGCGCAGCGCTCATCTGCTTTTAATGAAAGAAACACGGTGCTTTCCCTATATCGAAACAAAGCAATTAGGTTCTGTGTAAGGCAGGAAAAGAGAAAACACTGCGTTGACTTCATAATAATTTCTGCATTTCCTACGTTTCTGACATCTGTCTGTTTTGCATGCAAGTTCAAAACATGTTACTGAATTTCTCAAGAAGTTCACGGAGGAAAGACGGATCGATGCTTTTCTCGGCTCGGTTGCTTTGGGTATATGCGTGCAAGATGTGCAAACTGTGACAGCAGGTTAAAATAATGGAGGTAATAGTGGGTCACTGGATATTTGCTACTTCCCCAACTGGGTTTTAATGCACGTTTAGACACATATTAACGTCGACTACATTAATTCACAGCTGTGGAAATGAGACAGATGGCTTTTTTATTATCACTTTTTCTTTGCTTTGAATTGTACAGTCATGTTTATAACAGGATAAGGGCTTCAGACTTAAATTTGGTGCCACTTTACTAAAGTAAACATTGTTATTTCCACACTTGAGGAGCAGTATCAGTTTACATTTTCATACAGCATGAGGACAATGGCTAAAGGTTCAGACTCAGTTTCAAGTAACAATATGACAACTGAAGTCTTTCAGTTTAACATAGCTGCAGTAAATCAAAGTGGCCCCTTAATGTAAAGTGTAGTTCTTTCCTTTGTTGCAAAAGCCTAACAGACTGTCCCACTTGATAGATTAGAGCTGCAATAAAGAAAGAGTGACTTTAACAGCATGCAATGTGCGCAATTATATGATTTTATTATGATACTGGGGATAAAACTATATTTATGACATTTTACGGTGATGATGTGAAATCAATGTAAAAAAAAAAACAGAAGAACACAAACCAATAGACACTGAAAGGTACATTTCCTTTGTGAATTTATCTGCACCCTATTAATGGTGTCATGCAAGGGACTTTTATGTTATTTTGATCACATGTTTTAGTGCCTCATGTCAGCAGAAATACTGTCAATTTTCACACTTCAGTCCAAAATTAAAACACTGTTGACGTTTTTCTGATCACATTACAAAATAGAACAGACAGGATAGTCCCAGTTGTGGTGAGCTGATACTCTTCTGCAAATGGCACCTTTCTGGTAAAAAGCATGTTGGCGTCACAAAGTGACAAATTCCTGCAAATATGTTAAATCATAACACTGTAAATAAACTACATACAGAAGCTCCAGTAAGCTTAACGCTTAATTCTAGTTTTGTTTGGAGGACACAGATTTTGCATGTTGCAGTAGATCAGATGCACAGTGTCAGTCAGATCATTGATGTATTAATTCATCTGTTTTCTCAGATTGATGACATATCACCAGACTGCAGACTCGAAATTGAACTTGGACCAAACCAAACCAAAGGTGGAATAAGAAGAACAAACGAGGAATTCAGAGAGAAGATCCAACCCGAGTGACTGATCAGTTAATGCCATGTTACTGCTACCCTGCATGCGGCCATGTTGGCTTATCCAATCTACAAAAAAATGTGCATACACAAGCATGCATTTGCACACACACAAACACAAATCACACCTCATCTCCTTGTCTTTAATCTTATCCCTCCCCGCCCTCATACCAGGTTCTGATTACCAGGGTCAATTTGGGACTTTCCTCTTTCCACTGAAGTGTGGGGTGGGCAACGGAAAGTCAAGCTTGGCTTCTAAAGTCCCTAAAACACCCTGACACTACACAAACATACTCTGCAGCTGTCAGGGCACTCAACCATTGTGGTCTCCTCTGGTGTACGGTATCACTGTGTATGAAAAATACTGGCCTACCTCTTTTACAGCCAGTCTCATCCTGAATGCACACTTGACAGAGCTTACTACTGAGTGAATGAGACACAGACGGAGGTTTAACAATCTTCTCTAAGAGTATATACATGTGTGTAAACAGAAAACCCCATACGCTTTTAATATTTAGGGGTTCAGTACTCCTGTATGGTGAATGGAGAGAAGCCATCAGTTGCAGAAATAATGAGGTTATCACATACACATAAAAAAACGATGAAATGGGGCCCCCTTGTGCCAAGAGAGCAAAGGTGCAAATAGACTCTCAAACAAGCTGGACTGCGTCATAGGTTTGTGCAACTGGTTTCAGCCCTTTATCTTTTTTCTTCCCTCCTACTCTCTGTGCTCACATATATAGTATTTTAATACAGCTGACTTTCCAATAAAGCTCTTCTCATTCATGTTTCTCTGTTTCTGTTGTCAGACAATGTAACAAGTATGAAATAGTGACTGAACTGCGGCTCATTAAGACTACATGTTAGGCAAACTGCAATGCAGACTTAAAGCACATTTCAAGAGGTGGTCTCAACAAACCAGACAGTCGAACTGAGACTGGACTGGCAACAATACAGACTGTAAACATCCCCCTAAAAGAAATTGTTCAGCCAATGGGGAAATTCCATCTCAGTCTCGTGGCATTTGGCTAACCAGTGGTGGTCAGTTAGTAAGTCAGCGACAAATGTTATCTTTGGATGGGTGCTGTTGCAGTCCAGCTAAAGATAATCAGCGAAAACTAAGCACACAAACTAAGCAAAATACTAATAAATAATAATTCTTAAAGTCTGTGCGCACTCTTCAGTTAAGGTAAATTAAAACTGGAATTTAAATGTTCAGATTATAAGCATCAGATTGCAGTGACAACTCAAAACTTTGTGAGCAGTGTCTGAGTTAGTGTGGCCCTCTTGTGGATACTGAGGCAGAGGTCAGATTCTCAGTTTTCTCATTCTAATGGTGAAGATGGTGTGCCACAACAGGCACAGGGAGGATTTATGAGAAATGTATCCTTTCATTGTATTTAAAGATAATTTCTGAAAACACCTTGGGATGTGCTTTGTAAAAAAATGTATTCAATATAATCAATAATTATAAATTTTATTTTCTTATATTATTATATTACATTGAATGTAATATTTTATATTAAAAATGCTATTATTCATTAAGTTCATACAACTCAGTTATTTTCAATATGTAGTATTTGTTGTAAATAATGGTTTTAGTGGAGTTATTTATGTAAGTCAAGGTAGTGTGCTTCTAGTCGCTGCTAATAATAGACATATTCAGCCGTCTTCAAAACTGTCCTTTACACTTTCCTCTCTTCTTACAGTTTTACAGTTAGGCGTAAGTGTAGGTATAACTGAAGAAACCACAATGTTCAGCATGGCTACCAAACAGCATAGCAGAGGCCGATGAGAATGCTGTTAGTTCAGTATTCAGATCTTTTACCTCAGTAAAAGTAGGTATACTACAATTTGAAAATTTTTATGAAAATAAAAGTAGTGCATTCAAAACCTTATTTCAGTAAAAGTACAACAAAATAGAATAAAATTAAAATACTCCATTAAAGCACCTCAGAACTGTAATTAAGTACGGTACTTGAGTAAATGTACTTACTTTTCAACATTGAAGAGGGCCTCCGGCTGAAATCTACATCAATACACAACAGAAGCATGTGTCAAAAGTGAAGATTGTCATAACCACATATTTAGCTTCTTTTCTTGGTGTTTTATTCCAAAATGAAACAAATTACTTTAAAAAGGGTTAATAAACCCTTCATTAAATGCTACATTCATTCATTCATGCTTACATCTCTTCTCATCGTTAAAATTGTTCCAACTTCTGACTAATGAATCATCACCAAAAAGTCACAAAGTCACATACTATGTGTGAAACAGTTTTGATAATTGATTGTTTCACTTGTTTATTTGACCAAAAATACCTACATTTAGTTCAGCTTCCTAAATGTGAGATTTTGCTACATGTCTGTTTTGTTACACTGTAAAATGCATATCTTTGGGTTTTACAAGCATTTAAGCCAGCAAACATTTGCTAACTAACACTAAACCCTTGATCCACTCACACTGTTTACCTAGTATTGGCCTCTTTGGCCACCTTGTGGTTGTAATGTTGTTAATGTAATTAATGTATGTGGTATGTCTTTGTTTTTGCTTTTTTTGCTGATTTGTTCTTATTTTTGTTTTTGTTTTTTGTTTGGCTGTCTGCTGTCTGTCTTTACATTACTGTAATCTTACTGTACTTCTATTCTTTATTTATTTTGTCACTCGTTTGTTATGTAGTGATTGTGTTATATGTCGGGACCCTCTCAAAAACGAGAGGGTACATCTCAATGGGTTTATCCTACTAAATAAATTTGTCGAAACACAAAGGCTGACAGGAATGTAACTAGCTTTGTAGGTATTTTATCACATAGATCAAAATTTTGGACAAATAAGTATTTTGACCTGATGATGGCGCTAAATGAAATGTTTAGGAATCACAATAGTTAGGCTGTTACGATTATCCTGAGGAGACATGAATGTGTGTATCAGACTTCATGGCGATCCATCCAATAGTTGTTGAAACATTTTACTCAAAACCACAAATGTAATCCTCAGAGTGGTGCTGAAAGAAAAGTCAAGGGTCATAGTATGAAACGTCAATCCATACAGTCATTTAAGAAATATTTCAGTCAGGCTGACACTGACATCCTTAGATTTATGCCACATGTGAGGCTAAAAATAACATGCAACAGTTCATGTCCACTCCATGTCACTGCATCCATCTAATTACCAGGCATGCAAACTGGTCAGGGGTGAAAAAGGTGAGAAGGATGCGTGAGCAGAGAAAAACACAGACCCACTAGAGGGGGTCTCGGGATATGCTCACCCAGAGATTTTTTTAAGAAAATAAGCTACTAAACGAAATACTTTCTTTCTACTTTGTTTCTAATAGAGAAAAAGTAGGTCCAACATGAAACTGCTCACAATAAACATTTGTGGATACAGTTTGTAGTTGACTCCTCTGCAGTGTAGTAGTAGCTGAGTTGCTATGGTACTGTGGTCACACAGTGTGGCTTACAGTAGGTCAATGCACCCCCCACCAAAAAAAAAAAAAAAAAAAAATGTTCTCATCGGATCTGCACGAATCACGTCGGTGACCCATTTTGGTTTCAAAATGGCGAATTTTGCCAAAAGG